CTTTACCACTAAGCCCAGTGGAAGGAAGAACCGGTCAGAGACAGGTGCAACGATCCAGAAAGAGCAAGAATCAAACCCAGCTCCTGCCCTCTCACCATCCTCACCTGCTTAATACGTGTGTGTTGCTTGAATAACTAAACAACGTGAAGTTAATGAATGCAAGTAAGAGATTGGGTGGTGTGGGTGTGTTCCCGTTCCTGTGTGTGTTCCTGTGTTTTCTTCCTGAAGGCCGGTGGACTCAGAGACAGTCCCTGCCAGGAGGAGCTCAGAGCCCAGCATGAAGGTGCCTCTCAATTCCAGGATGCACACACCTCTGTCCCACCATCTAGCCCCTGACCTCTTTGCTTGAGTCCAGGCATCTGTCCTCACAAGGAAGCCAGTCAGCAGGTCAGACTCACTGTGTCCTCACGGCCTGCCTCTTCCTTCAGGGCATGAACTACCTGGAAGACCGCCGCCTGGTGCACCGTGACCTTGCGGCGAGGAACGTCCTGGTGAAGACGCCGCAGCACGTCAAGATCACGGATTTTGGGCTGGCCAAGCTGCTCGGTGCCGAGGAGAAGGAGTACCATGCCGAGGGAGGCAAAGTGAGGAGCGATGTGACCAGTTCTTCAGAGAGCCGTTTCCTGACGGCCGAGCCCCCATCTCCTTACTGGGAACAGTTTCTAACTGCCGTAGGGGGTGGACATTCTCAGAAGGTTCTGAGTGAGGTCACAGCAGCTGCCCCCGCCAGCCGGGGTATCCGGCAGCTGAAGTTGAGCAGCTTTGGGAGCAGGATTTTCTAGGAGAGGGAGCAAAGATGCTTCTCACCTATGCGGCGGTCTAGCTCCCGGGGTGATGGTGCACAAAGCTTAGATTTCAACCGCCCCTCCAGGAAGTAAGCTTTCTTCAAAAGCGCTGCAGGGAAATGGTCCAGCTAAGTGGTGGCTCACTGCTGTTGGGGACAATAAACAGGAACACTGCTTGTGCTAGTCCCCGAGCTCCATGGGTCTGACTCATGCCCGGGACTGGCAGTGCTTGCGTTGACTCCCTTCTCACTATGTGGCTGGGGAGCCACCCAAGCTAACCCTTAGGCCGTCTGGAGTGTGCTGCTACTGCTTCGGAGGCAATCAGTTGCGTGTGTCTTAGGCGTTGGCCCGGCCCGCATGGCTCAAGCAGCTGTCAACCCTGTGACCCTAGGCCCTGCAAGCAGTCAGACCACAGACAAGAGCAGGACCCCAAGCCACCCGCGGGTGCACTTGGCTGGGCCAGAACAGCTTAGGGCCTCCGTTGTCTTCCGCTGTTACATTCATGAAACGCACTCTGGGCCGACAGAGTAATCCCCATCAGATCAACTTCAAACCCGCTCCTCTAGCTGGGAGGAGCCCAGGGCAGGGGACTGCCTGCCTGGCTCCCCTCGGTGGGTCCCTTGTAATTAGTCCCAGTGTGATTTATTGTTCTTCTACAGAGGGGCGAATAGTTGTTTTAATACTTCCTTTCTCATTCCCCCAAGGTTCCTATTAAATGGATGGCTCTGGAATCAATTTTACACCGAATTTATACCCACCAAAGTGATGTCTGGAGCTACGGTGAGTGAAACCCCTAATGATGCTGGTGAATTGGCCCTGCGGTTGAGCTGGGTTTCTCCTTCGTCGGTGTACATGAGCCACTCTGTCAGCTCAGGCCTGCCTTTCCAGACCAGGAGCACTGACCATGCCCTTGCTGTTGTCATTTTTATCTGAGCATAATAGGTGGACAAGGCAGTAGAGTTTCATGGCCGTAGTAAAGGCGACATGAGATAAGGATGAACTTACAGAGAAGAAAGGGAGAAAGAGTATGCACCAAGAAATACCCCTTCCATGAAAAAGCAAACCAAACCGGGCCTCTCGCTGTGAAGCTGAAGTGAACCAAAAGGCGGTGCCAAATGAGGTTTCATGGAGAAGACTCTCCAGCAGAGAAATGAGCTTTTTCTGATGAACTCACTAATGGCAATTGTTCCGTTCAGTGCATGGTAGTCTTAGTATATTAGAGATAATGTCTAGACTAAAATGCATTTCGAGGTGATGTCTAAGGACAGAGCAAATCACTATTGCTTCCATGTCTAATAGAGGGCCATCTCCGGAGGATCTGCATTTCCATTTCCTCCACCAGGCCCCCCAGGAGCAGCCCTGGACTTACAGGGGAATTCCGTCTTCTTTAACCGTGCCTTGTACATTCATGCCTGCCTCTGTACAAATGTTCTCCTGCGCCTCTAAAGGCTTTATCTTTAAATATATATATATATATTAATTTCCCTGAGCAGCTGTGCTGTTAACACAATTAGTTTTCAAATTTCAACCAGCAATCTGCTGAGAGACTGGAAAAATGCCTGGTGCTTGATTGGGAATTATCAACTACCCTCAGTCATTTCAAGTAATGAGAACTGAGGAGGTACAAAAGTCTGTTTTTCAAGAATAAGTCTTTCAATGACCCAGAGACAACACTCACTCATGGGAACCCCTTTCAGGCCAGAGTATACTTGTGCTCAAAGCGTTTTCACTGGCAGATGTTCAGAAGTGGGTGTGGTTTTCCAAGGTGCCTCTACTTAGAATCACATACAGCTCACCTTTCGGTGACAGCACATTCACCGATTGTGCTGCCCAGGGAAGCCCCCATGTGTATTGGGGGAGGGCAGTAATGGAAGACATTTCTAAAAGACATCTAATCATTCGGAACCATTCAATTCCTTGTCTCCTTGCACCCCACCCCACCCTTTTTTAAAACAAAATATCACTACTAGTTTTCTTACATTCTAACTAATTGGTCTTAAGCCAGAGGCTTTTTTTCTATCTCTTCTGCTACATCTTATCTCTCTACAAAGGCAAGGATCTTTGCAGGTTTGTTAGTGAATAAGTGATTTTTTTTAACATACCCGTGAACTGCTTGCAATTAGTGGACTAAACAAGGAAACAAGCTGCGTTGATAGCTTGTTTCTTTCAATGTAATCAAGATAGGTTTGCTCCCCAGGAAGCATGGGGACAGTACTTCTCTTGCTCACTCCTCTATCTAGTCCCCGGTATTTCCGTTGTCACTCACCATGCCAACCACCACCTTTCAAAGACACCACAGCAGTGGTCCTCTCTTCCTGGTGTGGACCCCTCGCATCCTTTCTCAACAGTGGACCAAGCATGTCATTTAGTTATAGCAGACTTTCACTTATCTTTTTTGCATCCTTCTTTGATTGTCCAGTATGTTCATGAACGCTCTGGTCCTGGTCCCCAGGTCCTGTCCCAGGTCCCCGGGCTCCATCCTTCTATGCTCTGTCAAAGTACATGAAAGCTCTGGTGAATTCAGCGACAGTACCTCCAAATGTTTTAAGTAGTGCCAGACATCAAGTGTAATGACAGAGATGTTGGGTTTTCAGGTGTTGCGTAACCTGCTCGCTCTTGGCTGTGCACTAAAATTGTTAGACTATGAGACTGAAGTTTTCGTTTTCAAAGCATATCCTGTTACTCCACTCTTTCATCTTCAATTAACCAAACCTTTATTGCAGTAAGTTAGCCATACACTGTCTTCCAGTGAGGAGTTGAAAAGAGAATCCAGACGAGCCTTTAGCCCTTACCTTACCACTACGCTCTTAACCGTACACACGTGGACCTACTCCCCTCTTCATTTAGGTAGACCCGCAAGAGCCCTACCGTTCCACAGGAATTCATTGTGTACTTGAAAGCACTTTATTCAAACTAGACTTACTTTGTAGATGTAGTGACTTATATTTCTAAAAAAAAAGGCTTACACTCTTAGACAACCTATAGAAGTCCCCATGAGTCAGAATTAACTTTATGGAAGTGAGCTTTGGGGGGCGGGGGTTGTTTTGTTTTTGTACTTTTGTGATTTCTTTTTGATGAGTATGTGTTCCTATTTCACATCATAACAATACTCATGTCAACATTGTTGTGTTTTTAATTATTAAAGTTTACATTATTTGGTCATACTTACCTGTGTTTTATGCTGGGTTTTCTAGATAAACAAGAGAAGTAACACTCATATGTGTATAAGAAAGAAATTTTTATCAAGAAAGTAGCCCACATAGCTGCAGGGAGAGCGAGCCAAGTCTGTGGATCAGATGCTATGGTAGCTAGAGGCCCTTCCCAACTCACATAGCTGGAAGCAATGAACCAGGAAGCAGAAAGACTAAAGGTCAATGGAGGCAGAGTCCAAGTTATCCTAGGCTAATAGGCAAACTGTCAAGCTGCCAACAGCTCCCCTGGTCAGCAGGCCACCTGGTGCCTGCTATACCCAGAAACCAGACTCCAACCCAGCAGGAAGGAAAAGAGCGAGCCAATTCCACCCTCTATCTTTACACATGAAATAGGCCACACCCCCAAGTAGACATAGTCAGACTGTGAACTGTACTTATGGAGGAGGCCTGATTGCCACACTATTGAGGATCCTGGCCCAGCCGATTGACCCCAAACCTAACACCAGGCAATAAGCATTTCATCCACACCCAATTGTGTGAGACAGATACAGACATTCTTTAGCAGTATCTTGGGTATGATTTCAAACTGTCACAGTAAAACAAACGTTGCCGTAATGCAAATCATATATTTTTTTAAATCTCCCTGTGCATTCAAAAGTTATGTGATATAGTTTACACTATATTGTAGCCTGTTGGGAACACTGGTGGTGCGGTGGGTTGTTTTAGGCTGCTAACTGCAAGACAAGTGGTTCACACCCAACAACTGATTATGGAAGAAAGATAAAAGATGAGGCTGTTGGCTCCTCTAAAGACTCAGTGTCTCAGAAGCAGTTCTCGTCTACGCTCTGGGTCACTATGAGTTGGAAGAGACTTGATGGCAGTGACTGTCTCTTCTTGTTCTTCTTCTTCCTCGTCTGTTTAGGGTGCACTGTGATGATTGTTGTTAGGTCCCTGGGTCAGCTCTAACTCATGCAGGCCACATGTACGACAGAGAAACATTGCCCAGTCCTGGGCCATCCTCACAGTGCTGACGTTTGAGCCCATTGTTGAAGCCACTCAATCAATCCATCTCGTAGATGGTCTTCTTCTTCTTCTTCTTTGCTGACCTTCTACTCTACGAAGCATCATGTCCTTTTCCAGGGACAGGTCTCATCTGATAATGTGCCCCTCTAAGACCAGTATGCTTGCTTATTCCTCTGGCATTTCACGGTAGTTGCAACATGCTTTGCCAACAGTATATTTCAAATATACTGTTGGAACATATTTCAAATGTTTAAATTCTTCTTTCAGTCTTCATTATGTATGGCCTACCTTTGCCAAGGATTTAAAATGCCAAGGATGTAATAATAGCTTTAGGAAACATTTGAAATATCGTGAGAATTATCAAAATGTGACAGAGAGACATGAAGTGAGAACATGGTATTAGGAAACTGGTCCCTATAGACGTCCTAGTTACTGGAGAGCCACAGACTTTTAAATCTGTAAAATGCCATACTCTCTAGGAAATGCAGTAAGAAAACCCCCATAAAGCAAGTTTTGCCTGCTGTCATCCTATTTTACAGAAAGAGAAATTGAGCTTTCGAGCAGGCAAACAAATTGCTTCAGGAGGGAGAAACAAAGGTTTCTAAACCTTTAGGAGCAGTGCTTTTAAAAGGTGAATGAAAGAAAAGGTGTGGTTATTGTCATGGATTCATAAAGTGACCACTTTTTCAAGTGATTTAATCTGATTATCTCCTCAGGTGTGACAGTTTGGGAGTTGATGACCTTCGGATCCAAGCCCTATGATGGAATCCCTGCCAGTGAGATCTCGTCCATCCTGGAAAAAGGAGAGCGCCTTCCACAGCCACCCATCTGCACCATTGATGTCTACATGATCATGGTTAAATGTGAGTGCCTGGAGGGGCTGTGCACCCTCGCTGAGCTGGCCTTGGCCACTGTGGGAGTCTGGGTGGACTAGAGAAACAAATTCATAGGTACTCAGAGGTGTATAAGAAAGCGCTTTATATACAGAGTGATGGTATATTGAAAAAACATCCCAGCCCAGTGCAGATCAAGTCCTTAAGTCCGATATGAGCCCATATGTCCGATACCAGTCTGTAAATACCTCTTCAGACTCATACAACACATGTAATGATGCAGAGTGCAGGAAGATCAGAGGCCAGTGGCTGGAAAGTCTTGTGGATCCGGTGGCAGTGGAGGCATCTTGGCTCTGGCAGGGATCTCCTTGTGGCTCCTCCAGCTCCTGGGCTCTAGCTAGCTCCATTGTCTTGTCAACAGGAATGTCTTGCAGGGAGTAAGCGTGTATCTGGCCTCCAGTAAGCTATTTATCTCCCGTTTGTGCCTCTCAAATGATGACCCCCAAGCTGCGACCTGATCGACAGACTAGACTCGACCCCTCTGCAAGTTGACACCAGATTATGTAACTACCACAGCCACGCAGAACACTTTTTGGTGCCTCAAAAACCATCATTGCTTTTAGTCAAACAACTTTAGGTTCCAGTTCCCTGTACAAATGTGTTACATTTTTCAGGGCAGGCACATCGCCCAAAGACATCTGTTAACTAACCCTCCTCCAAACATTCTTCAGAAAGCAATTGCTGACTCACTCAACAATCTGACCTGACGTTTGCAAGTAAATAAAATCAAACTGCTACTCCAAAATACCCTTCTTCTCCAAGTGGCTCAATGAAATACCAAACAGCCCCACATTGCAAAGCCTGTTACCAGAGAGACTGTATGTTTTGAAAAGATCTAACAGTGAGTAACCTCAGAGGGCTAACAGAGTCAACATTTCAACCCGTGGGTTTACGTAAGATCTTCTGTGGTGTGGCACGTCACCATCTGACCCCAAATAAACATGTTCAGATTGACTGCCACTGTCCCGCCACCAGACTCACAAGTTCAGTAGACCCTGGAGGTAAAACTACATGGGTGATCAAGTGTTTGCTCCAGAAGGTAGCAACAGGATTATGCTAGGGCCAAGTGAATGTAAATGTGCTCGCTTTCCAAACTTTACGCCACAGGGTTCATTTATTTTAACTCCCTTGTTTGGCTTGAGAAAGCTGGGATCCAAAAGGTTCCGTGATTTGTCTGAAGGTCACAGAGCAGTCTGGCCTGAAATAGCTTGACATCATCCTGATGGAAAATAGATGTGAACTCTCAAAAGGCTGGAGGATTTCCGTCCACGGCTGTCCTCCAGCTTTGTCATCTAGGCTTAAGTCACTGTGTAATCAAGTGGCAAAAGCATGGTTAGTAAAAGGGGCTCTAGTTTGCATGCATGACTCTTACCTGCTAGTGAGTGGATTCTGACACGTGGTAACATCCATGTGTATCCAGAGTAGGATTGTGATCCACACAGTTCCACTGGCTGGTTTTTCAAAAGCAGATCACCAGACCTTTCTTCTGAGGCACCTCTGGCCAGACCTCAAAATGCACTAACCATTGGCACCCCCCCATGCATGCATGATTACTGAATCGTGATTACTGAATATGTAAGACAATGAAGGCACTGGAGGTTGGAGTTCCACAACTCAAAGCTCCATAAAGCTTTTCTATTTCTTTCAATGGAATATGCTTCCCAGTTTGAAAGATGTTGAATATAAATGAGGGTAACTATGAAGTAAAGATGTTGCCCAATAGACTAGACACGAAGATATCATCCTATCAGAGTAGCTCGTAGGTAGCCATTGGGGATCGTAACACAAAATGCTGACCAAAGAAGAAGATGCTTGTAGAAAATTACGGAAGTTTATGTCACTCTGAGCCCGGGTGGCACAGTGGGTTACATATGGGGCTGCTAACCTCAAGGTAAGCAGTTCAAAACCACAGAGGGTAAAAGATGAGGCTTTCTGCTTTCGTAAAGAGTTACAGTCTGAGAAACCACATGGGGCAGTTCTACCCTGCCCTATAGAGTTAATATGAGTCAGAAGCAGTTCCGTGGCAGTGAGTGAGTGAGATGTCCCTCTAATTCAAATCTATTATATCATCATGGTCTTTAGATATTAGTAAGGTCTGTCACAAAGACTTCAGTCTGTTTATCATTTGGTTGTCTAAAACTGTCTCATCTTAAACGCTTCCAAGTATACCATCTCTATGAGTCCTTCAAAAGTTATAATTGCATTGTTTTCTTCCAATTTTTTCCCAGGCTGGATGATAGATGCAGAAAGTCGCCCAAAGTTCCGGGAGTTGATCAATGAATTCTCCAAAATGGCCCGTGACCCTCAGCGCTACCTTGTCATTCAGGTACCAGACCTCAGACTGCATGCACTTATATTGAGAAAAGCCCCTCTCATGGGCATCCAGTGTATACGTGCTCCACTATATGCCAATGTGGCCTTTGTTTTATAATCTAAACCCCAGAGCCTTCAAACAAATCTCAGTTAAGCCATAGGCCAAGGGGAATTCATTTGCATTACCTACGCACCCTTGTTTTCACCCGCTCCTTCTGAACTGTGCACAACCAGGCAGTCTTCCCACAAGCCCCAGGTGCCATCGTTCCATTTTAAGTAGCTGTGACTTGAGCCTGGTGTGACGGAGAAACCAGACTTGGGGGCAAAGCAAACCTAGGCTCACGTCCTCGCTGTGTCACCTCAGCCAGCCCATCTATTAACCTCCCTCCTTGTCCAATACACCGTGGGGAAAACCAGCCTCACCGAGGCATCTCAAAGAATCACTGAAAGAATCCATACGAAACCTAGTGCACAACAACACAGTGCACCCCCAGGGCATGGGGCTGCTGCTGCTCTGTCCTCTTGGTCCCTTAGACATCAACGTATTCTTAATGTTTTCATTTCCAGCAGTGGGGGGGAAGCGGCACTACTGCAGAGAAACTGACCAACTCTAACACCAAGCTCACTGCCAGAAAGTCGATTGTGACTCATAGCAACCTTAGAGGTCAAGGTAGACCCGCCCCTGTGGACTTCGGAGACTTGCACTTCTTCTTTTTTTTTTTTTTTTTTTGTTGTTTTTTGTTTTCGTTTTTTTTTTTTTTTTTTTTAAACATTTTATTAGGGGCTGATACAACTGTTATCGCAATCCATACACACATCAATTGTGTAAAGCGCATTTGTACATCATTCTCAAAACATTTTCTCTCCACTTAAACCCCCAACATTAGGTCCTCATTTTTCCCCTCCCTCATGAGCCCTTGATAGTTTATAAATTGGTATTTTGTCATATCTTGCCCTGTCCGACATCTCCCTTCACCCACTTTTCGGTTGTCCGTCCCCCAGGGAGGTCACACACAGTTCCTTGTAATCAGTTCCCTCTTTCCTACCCCATTCTCCCTTTACCCTCCCTGTTTCGCCACTCACACCACTGGTCCTGTAGGGCTCATCCATCCTGGATTCCCTGTATTTTCAGTTCCTATCTGTACCAGTGTACATCCTCTGGTCTAGCCAGACTTGCAAGGTCGAATTCGAGTCATGGTAGTGGGAGCGGGGAGGAAACATTTAGGAACTAGAGGAAGGTTGTATTTCTCATCATTATTACATTGCACCCTGACTGGCTCATCTCCTCCCCGAGACCCCTCTGCAAGGGGATCTCCAGTGGCCTACTAATGGGCTTTGGATCTCCACTCCGCACTCCCCCCATCATTCACTATGGTAGACTTGCACTTCTTATGGAAATAGAAAGGCTTCTCTCTCCCATGGAGTGGCTGGGGGTTTCGAGCCACAGACCTTGCAAATACCAGCCCAACTCATAACCACCCCCAGGACTCCTTCTGAGAAACAGAGGGGTGTTCCTACAATTAAGTTGGCAAACATCCTGGCACCTACTAAAAATAGAGGTGGAATTGCTTCTATCCACCCTTCTAATCATCTCAAAATCTCTGCACAGGGCGATGAGCGAATGCATCTGCCAAGCCCCACAGACTCAAACTTTTACCGCGGCCTGATGGACGAAGAGGACATGGAAGATGTCGTGGACGCGGACGAGTACCTCATTCCACAGCAAGGCTTCTTCAACAGCCCTTCCACTTCTCGAACCCCCCTTCTCAATTCTCTGGTATGAAACCTCACTCTGTCTCTCGAGGTGGGCCTACCGATTAAAACAATCCGCTGCCCTCAGATGGATTCTTCCTCATAGCAACCCGACAGGACAGGACAGGACAGAACGATTCCTTTGGGTTTCTGTGGCTCTGTCTTTACAGCTGTTTCTCCTGAGGAACAGCTGGGGGGTGTAAACAACTGGCTCTGCGTTGGTAGCAGCCCACCACTTAATGCACTGTACCGCAAAACGGGTTTCCAGACGAACCATACCTGTCTGGTAGAACTCAGAGAGAGACCAGGAAGAATAGTTTCACCAAATGGTAAAGCCAAAATTAAATCAATCTATATTTCTCAAGAGCAGGATTAAATAGATCAGAACTAAAGCTAGCTTTTTGTAAAGCCCATGATTCAAGGCAGAACGTCAGCACCTTGAACTAGGACCCCTGAATGAGACCTAGCACCTGCAGGAGGTGGGGATGGGTGAGAATGCACAAGCATCTCCGCTGTTTCTTCTTTCAGAGCACAACCAGCAATAATTCCACTGTGGCCTGCATCGACAGAAACGGGGTATGTATACGCATCAGATACACCAGCGTTAAGCAGTGGCTCTATGGTCCATCTCTACTCTTCATACAAAATGCCCTCTTGGTTTTCCTTCCTGTCTCTCCTTCATGGGCATGACTTTAAAGCAGGCGGTTAACTATCATGCAGTGGACAGTGGTTCATGGACCAGTGGCAGCTGGCAGTGACAGACACGCTAATTGCCTGGCCACCGCCCCAACATACCGAACCAGGATCTCAATGGGTGGGCCCTGCACTCTGGCTGCAAACCAACCTTTCAGGTGACGCAGACGGATGAGAGGGTGGGAACCTTGACAAACATTCTCACTGCCCAAGATAGAAATCACCAGCTAAATACGGCTGTTTAAATGTTTCATTGATGCAATGGAAAATTGAGCTCCCCACACATCTCGAGTGTTCCCTAACAACATGCAAGATATTTTCACCATTGTCGCCAGTTCTGTTGGACTGTAGGAGCCAGGCTTGCTGCTCCTTGCCCTGTCACCCACGGATCCCTATGTGGCCCCTGGCCAGCGATGTGGGTGTCATCTGGGGCCTCGTGAGCAATGCAGAAGCCCAGGTCTTGCCCCCAATACACTGGATCTTAATCTAGATTTTAATACCACCGTGGGTTATTATTGTTATGTGTATTAATGTTTGAGAAGCACTGGATTTTTTTTTCATCTGCCACCTTGCCTCCCCAGCAGAGCTGCCCTGTCAAGGAGGACAGCTTCTTACAGCGGTACAGCTCCGATCCCACGGGCGCTTTGACCGAAGCGAACATCGATGACGATTTCCTCCCAGCGCCAGGTAAGCAGCTTGTTCTAGCAACAGCTGGTCTTGGTGCCAGGCTGGGTGTTTCCTTCCACCTGGGGGGCCTGATGTTTCTGAGGTGGCAAGCCTGGACATTTTGCAGACACCGCTAAGGGTGTCAGAGGCTAATTGGTTCAACAACTTGCTCAGACCCCTGGTCAAGTTGGATTCAGGAGAAACAGCCTGTAGCTTTGTTCCAGTGATGCCTTAGTCCATGCTATAGTGTAGCTGGATGCACCTTGAAAACATGTGGAGTGAAGTAAGTCGGCCAGGAAAGGACAGAATGACTCCACTTATGTGAAATGTCTAAGATAGGCCAATCTATGGAGACTGATGTCTACGAATGGTGACCAGGAGCCAGGTGGAAGGGACAGGAATAGGGGATGCATGGCTTAAAGGGTACTAAGTTCTGTCAAGGGTTATAGGAAAATCAGAAGGAAGTACTAGTGATGGTTGAACAACATGATACACATAATATCCCTGAATTGTACATGTGAAAAATGTTTAGAAAGCATTGTTACATAATAATTGTCACAATTTTAAACATTGACTTAAAAAGGAAACCAGAAATAATGAACCTTAATATTTTCTAAATGTAAAACAAATGGGAATTCATACAGAGACAGACTTGATCTTTCATCTCCCTTGGTTCCGTTCTTGATTTGTGAAGCACGTATTTTCCTAATCTAAGCTTTAAGGCCAGACACTTCCAACTTGCCCCCCACAGACCTATGCCTGACATTTACACACACACTACTATGGGTGTAAGCCCACGTAACACACGCCATACATATATTGTGCACATACCAACAATGTGCACACACTTACTGTACACATACTGCATGCATGAACACATACCACACACACGCCATGTATACACTTACATCTATTGCATATGTACACATACACCATAAATGCGCCATATATGCCTGTGCACGCACACATGCCATATACCACACCATGCACACATATTTGATTATTGCCCACATAAACATGTGTACCTACTCCTTTCAGGGCAGGCGCTACTCTGAGATCTTTATACTTAAACAAAATACATTACAGCTATACTTGGAGAAGTACCTAAAGAACACAATGCAGTTGGCAGCAAGACAGGAATATCTCCAGGCTTCCCTTCCCTCTGTGACCAGTTTCCACATCCAGGGCATTCACGAGCTTCAAAAACATGAATCCTGTGATCATTGTGTAGGGATGACACTTTGCAGAGTATTTTACCTCCGACTTCTTTTCCATTTCAGAGTACATAAACCAATCCATTCCCAAAAGGCCTGCAGGTTCTGTGCAGAACCCTGTCTACCACAATCAGCCTCTGAATCCTGCCCCTGGCCGAGACCCTCACTACCAAAACCCCCACAGCAACGCCGTGCAGAATCCCGAGTATCTCAACACCATCCCGCCTGCCTGTGTCAACAGCCCTGCCTTCTGGGCCCAGAAAGGCAACCATCAAGTCAGTCTGGACAACCCGGACTACCAACAGGACTTCTTTCCCAAGGAAACCAAGCCCAATGGCATCCTTAAGGGTCCGGCAGCTGAAAATGCAGAATACCTAAGGGTCGCACCACCGAGCAGTGAGTTTATTGGAGCATGACCATAGAGGAAAGCACCGGCCGTAAAAATCCCAGACTCTTTGAGCCACACGGGACCAAGCCACGGCAGCTACAACAATTCCAACAGCCACAGGAACTCTCAGGCCTGTGGACTGACTTGGCCACGTTTGTTTTGAGTGGCCCCTCTTTCAACTAGGAAGGGCACCTCTACTCAGTGCACTTTGGGAAGTTGCACGTACAGCTCTTTCTCTTCAAAAGTTAAGCTTCCAGAAAAGGTACCCAGCAAGAACGGTGTCCCTTTGGGATTTGGGCAGAGTTTACCTTTCAGTGAGGTACATTAATATGTATATGAATATGCATATATGTATACACATATATGTATGTATATAATTGAGGTCTTGGGGGGGGGTGTTAATTGTCATTGCTGATTTTGCTGTTAATGGGCTCTGCCAATGAGTAAGGAAGTTGCTTGTAGCACCAGCTACTCTGAGTTGGCCCAGGTTCCTGGGACCAAGAAATCTAGATCACAAGTCTTCCATCTAACCCTGATGCCATGGGCTTGGCCTCAACACGCTTCCATCTCAACACCATTACAAATGGAAGGGGAAAAAAAAAAAAAGCCCCTGATATTCTGAGCAGGCCTGGTTGGTTCTGTATCAAGCCATGATATGGTACAAAAAGACAAGCTTTTTTGTCCCTGTCTGGGCAAAAAAAGGAAAAACTGAGCTCATCTTGAGACTTTGTTTTGTGTAAATGACCCCTTGGTACTTAGTTCCTATTGTTGTTTGTCCACTGTTTTCTGATTGCTCCGTTATTTGAACTGCCTCTTCGTTTTCTATTCCACTGTTTTGAAACTTGAGATGCCCCCTCCCCCGCCATCTTGCTGTCATAAAGTCAGCAAGAAAAGAAGGTACTGCAAACAAACACACCAACGGAGACCCTCCCTCACGTTTGGTTCATCCGCCTGCAGACCACTAGCCTTTAAATGAAATGAAAACACAAATGCTCACACAGGACCATAACTGGCTATCAAGTTGGGCAACTTCTGCCAAGTTTGAGTCTCCAGTGGAATGCAGCGAGTGCTCCAATGTACAGTGCAGCAGCTACGAAAACACAGCTGTTCTGAGGATGGATTGAGTCTCCCCTCCACCCCACCGTCCCCCAAAATAAAATATTTAGACTTAGGCTACTTGTAGAAATAATCTTTTTTATTTTTTTAACTTGAAAGGTACTTCGCTCCTCCCAGATAAGCTTCCCCCAGTGTCTCCCTGTTCCCTTTGTGAACTAAAAGGTTCTAGGTCCTGTGGCGACTGGGGAAGAACGTACGGCCCATGCCACTGCAGGTTGTTGCACAGCTACAAGTGAGATGCCACTAGTCATCGTGTGGGAGGTGAACCGGACGTTTTAAGTCATGCCTGCGCAACAGCATCTACAGATGTTCCAGAAGACAGAAGTCTTTTCTCTGCTTAGAACATCTCTAGTATCACTCTAGATCCAGTGAGGGTCTCCAACGAATTAGCCGCAGCTTTTCTTTTGCTTTTCTTTCTAATCGGTGTCCCTGTAACCTGGTGGGTCAATGGCAGTTCTGATAAACAGTGTTTCACCCACTCTTCACTCAGCACCCCTCCTCTCTAGTTTCTCAAGGAAGCAATATTTCGGACAGTGGTTTTAAATTCTGTATTGACTCAGACTGGGGCCCCACAGTTACCCCTGTGTTTGATTTTGGGGAGATGAGAATGAAGCTGAGTTCAACCGTGTTACATTTGCTACAACTTCAAAGCAGGGCTACACCAGCCTGTCACAGGTACAAAGGACACAAAAATGAACCGAGGCATTATATAATCCCTGATTCCAAGGAACTCCTAGTTTAGAAAAGGAAATGAATTTATAAATATGAAGCCGACAACAATATGACAAATGCCTGCGACAGCATGACAGCACTGTGAAAATATATAAAAGAGAGATCAGCTAAGCCTACCTGCAAAGATTCATCAAGTTGGGGAACACCTTGGTCCTGGGCCTAAAAAATGACCAGGGTTTTGACCACAGGGAAACCGAACGCAAATCACCAGTAAAGGAGGCTCTGAAAGAATCCACCAGCAAAGTGCGCTTAAAGGCAATGTTTAGCCAGCATAGCAGACTGCTCTCCTTTCAGCCTGGGGCTCAAGTTTGTGGGCCTCTTCTCCCTTGCCTGCCATTCATTGGGGGTTTGAGACTGTCTTCTCTGAAAATGCTCAGTGACAAAATTAGGCCACAGTTCTAAAGGTCTGAAATTTTATGGCATTGTCAGTAAGCCAATTTTGTTACCCATTCACCTCAGAATATTAAAAAAAACACCAAGCAATTAAATGTTGATCCAGAACCAGGGACCAGGATGATTCACATTTTGTTATTACTTGTCTGTCAAGAAACAGATTATTGTTAAGGGAGGGCAAGTGTAAAGCCAGTTCAAATGTAGCAGTTAAGAGCTTAGTATTTTTGTAATTTGAAATATTTTACTATAACACAATAAACAACAAAAATGATTCAAGCTTTCTTCTCCTTTTTCTTTCTATTTTCTTGCAAAAGAAAAAAATGTTTTTGCTAGCTCTTGTCAAATTTAAGATTTTACTTCCCCAAACATATTACCTCTGGCCGGGGAGAAGGGGTAAGCCTAGTGGAACTCATCGAGCTACCATCCTCCCCAAGGATGCCACCAAGTTGTTGTGGTTTGGACCGGAGAGCTCAGCAGCGTACCAGTATTTTCAGTACTACTAACTGAACAGATCTGAACCCTTCACATCTTGACCCCTGATCCTTCCTCATTGGTGACAAGACCCTAAAGTCCGATAGAGAGTTTGCTGTTTCTTCCTTCATTCACGCCCCATGGCCCAGTCTCACATCAGACCTTTCGAAGCAGAGTTCAACAAACATAAGATTTGGGGGCTGGCATTTACAATGGACTGCTACCTTTACATGTATTTTCCCACAAAACCTCTAAGGGATTTATATAATTATAGCCTATGAAAAATCCTTCTGGCCTACGTTAAATGTATGCATATGTGTGTTGAAGATAAATCTTCTGAACTTTACATTTGCTCTGTGTCCAGGTTGTCACTGGTTTTGAGCAAGTAGAAGCACCATCTTTACATTCCAGATGACGATAACAAGGCTGGAAGTATTTACTCTAAGCTCCTCATGTGTTTTACCCACCCATTCCCAACCCCAGAAAAAAAATCACAAATGATGAATGTAAAAGCACAAAAAACATTGGTTCTCAAGCTTAACCCTTCAGAATCTCCTATGTCCCTACCAAATATATATAAATCACCAAACTAAATCAGAATATATATATTAGTCTGACGAGCACCCCAGATGGAGAACCACTGATGTAAATAAAAGGCCTTAGAGAAGGAGACCCTGATGCTTGGCTGATTGACCTTCAATGTCGGCCTCACTGCCTTCGGCCTCAGTTTCCCAGGTGCTGAATGAGACTTGCATACAGTACCTCAGTAGTTCTCACCTGGAGAGTTTAAAGAAAGTGATGCCTGGATTCCCTTCAGACCAACTAAGTCAGAAGTTCAGCGATGCCAACAGGTGACTAATGAGCAACACCTTATCTCTAAAGTCTCCTGAGGTTATCTACGCCCATCGATTAAACCCTGCTTTCCCCAATCACCACAAGTCAGGATAGAATAAAAGAAATCATGGGTGCTAGATTCCCAGAGCCAACAGAAAAATCTTTACAGTTGCAAGTATGCCCCAGACTTGGCCATCAGAAGCTATTGCAAGACTCTCCCGTTTATGGTCATCAGCAATGTATACTGAAAGTGACAAATACTCCAATCCGAACCTGCATTTTCTAAAGAAGTTAATAAAAGCCAATCTCTTCCTCCAATGAATGAGCTACTTCCTAAATGACTGCTGACAAATTGCCTTTGATATCTATTTTGTATTTCTTCCTTTGCATAGCATGTTTTTGTTACAACATAGTAATCTGCTTTTATTTCCTGCCTGGGGAGCTGTAAGACCTTACGAAATAGAATTCCCTGCCTCTTTGACTAGCCACACCTGCCGTATGCGGTGCATACGTGTTGGTGGTATTAGAGGCATGTTCACTCAGCTAAGATTTTTAAATGTAAATCTATTTTTGTAACTTTTTAAGGGATGGTATCCTTTTTTGTAGCACTGAACTTTTGTAAGGTATATTTTTAGGAAAACTCATTTTTCTACTAAATAAAACCCAGTTTACTTTAGAAAAGCTGCAAGGGATCACAATTTGTGACTTAGATGTTGATGTAAAGGGATTAAACTGAAAGCGGAATATGTGTTCTCGTTCATGTATTAATGGTACAATCTCATTCCAGAGCTGCAGGAGGGCATCATGGTAAAAAGAAAAACCATCATCATATATTTGTAAAATTATAAATGATGAAAAGAGCACCTTAGGGTGTTGTAGAGTTTGTCTGGGGCAATGCGAACTGAAAGGAATTGCTGTCACCACTCAAATCGAATTGCAGCCCGTACTCAAATCGTCGGTCAACATGACCCCATGAATGTAAGGAAAGCAATAAAGCCAGCACTTTGTTGGTTGACATACACTAGTCTGACTTTGATGCACAAAAATTCTATTTTTATACTTATAATTGACATCCATTTACCAATATAGATTATTAAAGAAATGCCTGGAGAGCCCTAATGAAATCCATCAACAAATCCATCTTGCCACTTATAAACATAACATGATCATCTCAAAGCAGCAGAATGTTTGAAACTCTTGAGGCTCAGATGCCCCTAAACCCAGTTAAATATGAAGTGCTAGGGGGTAAACCCCAGGCTTTTGTACTCTTGTTAATTCCTTCTAAGAGTCCTGGTGGGGTACTGGGTTCCACACTGAGCTGATAGGCTGATATCACAGTCATCCAGGGGATTTACCAGCCACTCCATGGGAAAAACAGATGGCCTGGCTCCTGTAAAGACGTACAGTTTCAGGAACTCAAAGAGGCTTCTCTACCCTGTCCTGTGTGTGACAGGGTCTCAATGAGACAGAATCAACTCAATGGCAGTGGGCTTTGGACGCTGACTGTGCTCATTCTGGTGCCCCTAGGCCTAGATTGTGGAAATGGCTAACAGAAAGCTGAGAAGTTCAGTTCCACCCAGAGGTACCTCAGGAAAAGGGCCTGGTGATCTACTTCTGAGACATCACAACCACTGAAACTCCTGTGAAGCACAGTTCAACTCGGACCCACAAGGGCTCATTTCAGTGTGCAGCCAAGGTTGAGAAGCACCCGCCTAGAGGATAGCCCCAGGTGCCTGAATTTGCAGGAGATTCTGGTGATGGAGTGTCTATAAGAAAGAAAATTACATTACAAAAGTGGGTGTTAAAAGACTGCTTAAGCAGTTATTTTTTTCTAAAATCAAGAATCCAAGAAAGAGATTCTTGTGCCATGTTTTAAATATTTTATTTTAATGAATTATGCCTGGGATAAAAATAGAAGCAAAGAATTATGTGGGTTTTTTCCCTTTCACTTTAATCTGCATAAGCACAGTGTACTCTTATAAGTCTGTCCCGTCTGAATTACCAGCAAAAATAATAAGAATCACTTTTATCACCCAGCAGACAAAACTACAAAGGGAAACTTACATATATTTTTGCTGCATTTCCTTATTTAATAAAGAAAAAGGAGAAAAAATATTCCCCTGACTTGTTTTGGCTGCAAAATAATCTTATATAATGTCTTGGAAATTAAGGGATCCTATGGATCTGATGATTTATAGTAAAGGTGGTGATGTAACTGAGAAATAACAGCAAGAGCTTCATTTTATAAAACATTCAAGCAATACCTTTGTAACTTCAGTATGTGGTACGATTTAACATTGTAAAGTTTTGCCATGATGAAAGCGATATTTGTACAAATAAAAAGTAAGATTCTCTTTTATATGGCTTATATACTGTTGATCAAACATGATTGTATATGGTTTTAAAACTTAGATGTATATTATTGTTCTTTACTCTTAAGTACCTTGTAATAATAATGTAGTCTTTGGTAACAATGCCGTGTTAATATGAGTTATTAATCTTATCTACCCTGGTGGACATGGTCTCTTTCCATCATTTTCCCTCGGGGAGAAAAAGGACAAGTTCATTTGGAGTCAGGAATGCGGAAACACTTTCCATTCCGCTCCTCAGGTTTCTTCCCCTAAGCCATGCTCATGTTCACAATTACCTTCAGAATAAAGCTCTTCGGATACCAGGCTTGTCACATCTATTTTACACTCCTTCCTCAAACCTGTCCAGATCTTTCATGCTTTTTCCTCTTCCACATAGTCAAGAGATACTTCTTTGATGGAAGTGATTTTCCTTTGGCAGGTCAAATTTTTGTTTCTTCAGAACACTAAAATGAGTGGAGGCTTGGTTGAGCTTCTGCTAAATCACCTTTGCTAAGGTTATGAGGAATGAATGAACCACAACCATGTGTGAAAGGACCTCCCACTCAACCAATGGCACCCATCATCCTCACATTTGGAAAGAATGTCACAGCCGAGTGAGGAAGTTCACAGACTTGTCTTTCTTTTCCTCAAGCCAAGACTTACCTCGGTGAAATTAACCACTAGTGCTAAGGAAAATTGTTCTCTTGAAATATCCTATCATGTAGAGATCATTAAGTCAGTCCCTAATTCAGAATGAACCCATAAAGCCAGAACATAGTGAATCAGAGGGTTTTTTCACTGGCTGGCTGTACCAGTGTAGATTGCCAAGACTTTCTTGCTAGTCTGTATGAGTCTGGAAACTGCTGAAACCCATTGTACACCATGGCCTCCACTGACTGATGAATACTGGCTGCACACGAGGCTCATTGGCTGAGAATTGAACCGAGGTCTCCTGCCTACAAGAAGAGAATTCTATTACTGCACTCTATTTGCCCCTAGCTTATAATTGGAAAACTACAATACTATAGTATACTATATTACTGTAGTATATACTATACCATAGTCTTTAGTCTACAAAAATCCAGGCTTTAAGTTGAAGTGGTCCAAGAGGTAAATGAGTCTAACTAGACTTAAGACTCAGAGCGAGGGAATGAAAACCCTTAAAACTGAAAGAAAGGAAACCCAGCGTGAGCACCGAGGCCCAGGATGACTTGGGGGTGGGGATGCACAGGGTGTGAGGAGCTGAGGAGACGTTGATTAAGCTGACTCGTGTGGAGCTGTTGTTTTTGTTGCTGTGCAGTCAGTTCAACTAAGAGCCACCCTAATGAGGCAGAGTAGAAGTGCTCCATAGGGTTTCCTAGATTGTAATCAGTGTGGGAGCAGAACACCAGGCCTTTTCTCCCATAGTGCCGCTGGTAGATTCACATCCTTCATCTTCGGACAAAGATATAAGCACTTTGACCATTGGGCCCACCAGAGAGCTAGCATCTGGGAACAGTTCCCTTTGTCTAATGCAGTGGTGTTCAACCTTCCTAATGCTGTGACCCTTTAATATAGTTCCTCATGTTGTGGTGACACCCCCCCAACCATAAAAGTATTTCCGTTGCTACTTCATAACTGTAATTTTGCTACTGTTATGAATCGGGCGACCCTTGTGAAAGGGTTGTTTGACCCCCAAAGGGGTTGCAAACCACAGGTTGAGAACCGCTGGTCTAATGGAAGAGTCCAAGAGACTTTTGCTCTCTTTACATTTCACATGGACTCAGGCTCCTGAGAAGAAAGCCCCAACCCTCAGAGCTCCTGTTTTCCCTGACCAGTTGATCCCCACACCATGGCCCATGCTGTTTCTTTTACACAGCAGAACCTGGAGCAGGAAGTCAGGTTCACCTTATCCCTACAGTCTTCAGTATAAGACTGTGCTTGGCTAAACATATCCAGGAAAACTACAGCTTCGCTTTTGTGTTTTTCATTCAAAATGCCATTAACCACTTGCATATAGAGGACTAACAGTAAGCTGTATGTTCACATGGGAGCTGAACTTCAGAAAGTCTAAGTTCTTGAAGAATTAATACGCAAATTGGGAATTTTCCAGTGTTCTCTTTAGGGCCTAATGTCATTGGCCAGAATCCTTTCACTGCCTCCCTACCCCGCCCTCCCTTCAATCCCATTGCTCCATAGCATACATGGGGATTTTTAGAGACCAAAATCTTAGAATGGGATTAAATCAAAGTCTAATTAAGGGGTTTTCATCTCATAAGAGTCCCTGGGTGGTGGGTGGTGCAAAAGGCTAATTCACTTGGCTTGTTACGGAAAGGTTAGAGTTTAAAGTCCACACAGAGGTGCCTTGGAAGAAAGACCTGGCAGTCTGCTTCCAAAGATTACAAAAACCACACACTCACTTCCATCAAGTCAATTCTGACCCATGGTGACCCTATATGACAGAGTAGAACTGCCCCTATGGGTTTCTGAGACTATAAATCGTTACAGAAGTAGAAAGTCTCATTTTTGCTCTTGAAGAGAACTTGTTGGTTTTGAACTGCTGACCTTGCAGTTAGCAACTCAAAGTATAACCCCCGATGCAACATGAAAGTCCTATAGAGCAGTTTTATTCTGTCTCGAATGCATCGCCATGAATCAGAATCAACTGCATCTGGAGGTGGTCATGGTAATTCTATATCTAGAAAGTCAAATCTCAGCATATGAGGCCAAACAAGGGTTATGCTGGGACATTGGTTTTCTGAGCCTGAAATGCCACTCCTCAGTAAAGGTCATAGCTTCTGATCCCAACTGAACCCAGGGTGAACTCACTGGGACCACAGTGTTCCCTCCAGAATTTCAGCTAAAGCTTGAAGCAGATGTGGTTTCAGCTTGCAGAGATTTTTCCTTTGAGCCAAGAATCCTATAAAACTAATTGTAACTGTCTTGGGAATGAAGAGATTTCCCAAGAATGGGCAGGTCTGAGAAGCAGAACTGAACTATCATTTCTGTTTTAGTCTTGGATTTTTCCCTTATTCTAGGGCTTGGCTCCACTCTGGAGGGCAATTCTCCAAGACTTGTAATATCCTACCTCCTCCAGAGCATCAAATCCTCCCACCACCCCAGAAAAGGAAAGTCGAAAACCTGGGTAGAAGAAAAGCACTAAGTTTAAATCTGGTTTATACCCATATCTCCAAAACAATAATTGAAAAGACCCGGTAGACATGAGCTTAACACTGAAAGATATGTTTCTTGAAAGCACCTCACCCTTCTACTCTTCATCAACAAACTAAGAGTATTGAGTAATACAAACTGGGAGAAGACAGACATGGAGCTCTTAGCACAATCCTTCCCAGGAAGGACTTTATCCCTATCCTGAACACTGGGCTAGAAAACCCAACTATGAAGTTCCAAACACTAAAAATAAAAAACCTGCTTTAACCCCATTCCTCAAAATTAGCCCTTTGAAACTCTAACAAAGGGAATTCCCAGTCCTAGAACCTTAACTACTATGCATGAGCATAACTACTATGTTCAATCTTCCCACCCTTTGGGCCTACGGGGCACCTTCAAGGTACTGATGGTAACAAACATCAAAGTAAGGAGCCCTGTAAAGAGTTAGTCTCAGAAACCCATGGGTGCAGTTCTGCCCTGTCCTATAGGGTTTCTATGAGTCAGATTTGACTTGATAGCAGGCCACAGAAGAAAAGAGGCTACCTGCTCCCCTGAAGACTTGGCATCTCAAATCCTATGGATCAGTTCTACTCTGTAGGGACAATTCAGATGACCCAGTATCTTCATCCAGAGAGTTATTACCACAACTGCTAAATGTCAGTGTTGTCCATTTCTGCTTCTTCAGAGTAATATTTTATGGTTTTTATGTTTTATGTACATATTTATCAAAATATAAATGTACTTCAAAATATTTGTGGAAAAATTCCATCTTCAATTCCTTTTTATTTTTTCAAAAAATGTTGTAAGTCCTCTCTTCAATCTGTAGTTTATATGTAATGCTAACACCCACACACGAATAAAAATTAGATTTTAAAATATACAGATACAAGCCCCTTACTCACAGCCAGAGAAAAACTCCAACTCACTGCTGTAGAGTCAGTTCTGATACACAGTAGCCCCTACAGGACTAAGTGGAACTGCCTCTGCGGGTTCCTGAAACTATAAATCTCTATGGGATTAGGAAGTCTCACCTTTCTCCCAAGGAGCTCTCAGTAGTTCCCAACTGCTGACCTTGAAGTTAGCAACCCACTACACCACCAGGTCTCCTTACTGATAATAAGATGCAATAATAATGAAAAGTTTAGAAACAAAAACAGAAA